AGAGTAAGATTTAATATTCCTTGACAGCCTCTTATCTAATAGGCTGCCAGGGGGATTGTAACTCCCCCAGAAAAGCTTTAACTGAAGAACACACGGGGGCACAAGTTGTTTGTATTTCCTCTTGGGAAAGTAGACCATACAAATTGCGACGCAGTGATCCCAGCTTTTTTTTAGTCTTTAATTTACCAAGATAACCCAATTTTGAAAGTTGAGGCAGTAGCAAGTTTCACAACAAAACTACTTAAAAAATAGTTGTAATATAGAGCCACACAATAGTTTTATAAACTTTGGCTGTCTTGTGTCAACAGATGAAAGGAGGTCATTTCAGAAGATTTCACAAAAGTTCTGATGGGTTGGTCAACTGTAGAGCAAATCCCACATATCTTTTTTCTTTACCACTTTTTATATTTTCCACCAGTTAATCAAAATATGCAATTATCAATAAAGCACCCTATATGGAATTCCAGTAAATGAAGTAAAATATTTTTGCATGACTATAACAAAGGATTTTAAGGCAAAAGAGGATTTTAATATTTTGCCTGCTTGCCAGGGGTCTCAAATGACTACAAAGAGATGTATCCATGGATGAATTTGGAGGAAAGTGGAGGCCCTCCCTCGATCCAGACTACGATGCAATGAACGGGATGATAAAGCTTAAACAATTTATAAAAAATATATTTTAGAATATTTTTAGAAGTAAGGTGGAATAGATTATTTATTTATTTTTTTATTAAAGTGATTTTTTTTCTATTACCCAACTAACCAAACCAGATGCAGGAGTTTGCTCTGTAACCGAAGCTTTGCGGGTTGAAGCCCTGTTTCAAGCATTCAATACCTTTGGGCATTACATTACATCATTACAACCAGGTTTTTAGCTAGGAATATTTCATAGGGTGAATACCTTGGTTTATCTCATCTTTAGGCTTTGTACAGCGTAGGGGGGTCTGTGGGTATCCTCCCCTAGAAGATGTTGAATATAGACTCTGAAACACTATTTCCTGCATTTTGAGGTGGAATGCAGCTAACTTTTTGTCTTTGTCACAGCACTACTTTTGTCCTTATGAGAAGTATGTCTGCTTGACTAGAGGTGGATATTTCCTGTGATCATTTTCAGGTACAATCTTATGTTTCATAGGTTAATTCAAACAATCAGAAGGCATAGTACTACCTTCACACTGCAATTTGAGCAGCAAAAAAGCGTTGGTTACTTCATTTTTTATTCTTGCCCACATAAGGTCAGATGAGCGTCAAAAGCATCTTTGACACTCAAGAAGCGTGTCCAGTAAAGTGTGTCCAGATGCGTCTGATGCTTGTGCTGCTCCTGTGTTCAGTGGCAGAGAGCGGCTTTGCTATATTTTCTGTTATAAGTGGGTAAAAAATAGTTCTAATATGATTTTAAGTGAGAAAGTCCACATAAAAATTGTGATTTGTGAACATCGTTTGTGCAGTCAGTTCATCAAGATTACGATCCTGCCTTAAAATATTATTTTGCTGTCGGACCAGCACGTAGTCCCAACATACTGGTGGTGACTGGGAATCCCCAGCAGCAGCTGTCTCAGGGCGGGTCACCTCTTGGGGGTTTCTGGCAGCTGGAAGTAGATGTTAGCGTTTTTCAGGTATGTGGTACCAACTGCAGGCACCAGAATATTAAAAGCGAGCATATTTTGCTGGCAGGTTTCGACGTATCAAGTTAATTAAAGCGTTAACAGTTTCAGAGGAGTGGTCATAGAGCTCTGCATGAACATCGCTGTCTGCTGTACAATATACGACCGTAAGCATTGCTAGCTAAAAGCATGTTACCTACTGATGGAGGTCAGAGGGCCCGGTGACGGCTGTGTACGTTAGATGGTGAGATGATGTCTCAGCAAAATGTCATAAAAATAACACCTTTTGATGCAAGAAATAAAGATTTGAAAAAAGTAAATCATCAAAATAATGCCCGGGTTATGTAGACAGCACTTCAGGATATCCATGTTGATTTTGGGTTGAAGTTAATGATATACTATACCTCTTTTATTTGCAAATCTTTATAACACTTCAGAAGGACCAAGATCAACAAAGTAAACATCTCAGGATTCAAAAATAGACTTCAGCAAATAGTCTTATAAGACACTTCTGACATGGAAGGCAGGTCATTGCACAACTTTGAGGCAGGGAGAGCAGAACTTTCTCCTCTTAGTTTGCTCTTGTTTTTTATTTATTTATTTATTTTTTTGGTTTAGCAGGCCTCTTTAATAATTAAATATGAAGTACACAAAGGTTCAGTGCTGGGAACGAATCTGTCTTTACTTGGCTCTATTGCATTCTGAAAGCAAGAAAGCTGCCTTACTTTTGTGCCGAGCTTGATTGTCCCAGTCAGATTATAATTTAAATTTGATCTAGCTGAATCAGATCAGAATATTCCGAGTGGAATACTTACATGGCACATATTTAGTCTGATCGATCATTTATTTGCTTATGTCCATATAAATGTAGTTAAACTCCCACAACAACATGCCAGGCATTCATATATCTTCTCTAGACAATAAAGCCGTAAGCTGTAGCTGTCAAGGTGCCTTGAAAAAGTACTAAAGCAAAAATAACTTGTTTAAATTTTTTATGCATATGCTTTTGAGATTTAATGTGAAGTAGTTGCAACTAGGGCTGGAAACTGTGGCTTAGAAATATAATTTCAGGTTTTTTAATGCTAAATCTGATTATTTCTTTATTTTCATGATTAAATAAAAATGAGAAATAACAAGAATAACTTCTAAAAAGTAGCTTTTATTCCAAAAATCTCTTCTTGGAGTTGACTTGAAATCAAAGTGCAATTAAATACAAACTGTTACATGCTTGTAACACTAGTTGGTAAGCCCTATAATGTAAACCATAACACCATGACACACAATATGTCTACAGCTAGCTGGTATTACACAATTATTGGTAGTATACATCTAAGAACAAGAAGTAAACCAACTGATGTTACTTTAAACTAAGGAAGCCCAAGGAGTGCATTGGTGGGAAAAAGTCCAGATTCTTTTAAAAAATTCAATCTTCATAAACTGCTAATTGGAATTAATGATGCTATTAATTTACCCTTCAGCCCTAGGTGCCACATTAAGTAGTGGGTAATTGAGAAATTGAAGGAAAATTAGGCTTAGTTTTATTTTTATAAATCTGTTGGGTCCATCTACAACCCCAAATTACACATCATTCCCTTAGGGGCAGAAATGCATTTCGCAAGGCACGGAGTGAGTAGCTGCATCAATAACCTGTTGATATGCAGCAAAACTCGATGCAGTGTTACACTTATGCCCTACGATGAAGATTTAACACATTCACAAACTTTAGATGGAAATGCAGCCCAGATGTGGGATCGTTATACAATGATGTAGAAAAGCAAGAATCGCCAAATAATGATTCTAATAAAGCCGGGCTTACACTGTGTTTTTTGCCCTTTTTTGACCGACTTTCAAGTTGTGCAAGAATTTTTCGATCGGGCCGACTTTCAGCCTGGTAGTGCATCGTATAGTGCAGCGGTCCCCAACTGTTTTGCACCATGGACCACTTTATGTCAGACAATATTTTCACGGACCGGCCGGGGGGGTAAATACGATAAAGTAAAATGATACGAGTGGCATAAAATCAAATACAAACAGCATAAAAACAAAACAACAAGCCGGTCACATCTAGGCGTAATCGGAGAAAATGACACACGAAGTGTGCTCCTGATGTCCAGTCTGCTCCGTAGCTTTGTTTTGGTCGCTGTAACTGCAGAAAATCCCGCTTAACAAAGATAGGGTGTTATAGATAGGATGAGTCTTGAACTGAATTAACCTGTGTTAACAGACACAGATGCACCGACTGATGTAATTGGGAGAGAATACCGCAACATTACTCAGACTCTGATCGTCGATAAATTATATATATATATATATATATATATATATATATATATATATATATATATATATATATATATATATATATATATATTTATTTATTTTTTTTTTTTTCTGTGCGGCCCGCTACCAAATGACCCACAGACCGGTACCGGTCCGCGGCCCGGTGGTTGGGGACCGCTGGTATAGTGTATAGGGGGTAACGAGGGACGATCAGCCTCTTATGACCATCTCCCGATCAGGAATCGTGAGGTCAGGAGAAAATCAAACATGTTTGAAATTCAGTCGGCCATCGGGTGCAAACAAGGATTCTTCTTCTTCTTCTTCCTCTCAGATATAAACACAATGCATGGTGGGGGTGCGAGTAAAATGGAGTTCTTTCTGTAAAATTGACAGACCGTAGTAGCCAAATTTGCTCAGCTATGTCTTTGTCCCTATACGTCGTCGCCTTTTCTTTTTAGGGCTTTCAACACAAATTTGTAAAAATTGCCAAGGCAGCACGTTTCTCTCTAGTGAGCTTCATATTCCTCTTGTACTTGTTGGGCTTCTGGATAGATGAGTCCAAGCAGCACCACCTCACTGCGGAGCTGAGTCCGACGTAGTTTTTAGACGTACAGTGTGAGCAGGTAGATCGTATCAGAGCCGCACAGTGTGAGAACATGCATCGTGAGCGGTGAACTTTTAAACCCTGTGGTTTCATCGTAAAGGTTGAGCTGTAGCAGCGTGCATCGGTTGAAAAAAAATTACATAGTGAATGCCCGGCTTAAACTGGATTCTCATGGAATTAAGTTTTCTAGAAAAATAGACCTGACTTTTTTTATTTATTTTTTTAGATTTTATTAAAATAAATGTTGGTTCTATCAATTCATGTAATAAACATGTCAAGGTGTTTTGCTAAACTCATGTTTTGTACCCTGCTGCTCACCATTTGTTTGGTAAAGATCACCTTCTACCTCTTTACAGAATCATGTGCTTAACATCAGCCTACAATATTCAAAGCTTTGTGGCTACGGTTCAAAACACCAGATAATGATGAAAGCCATAAGGCAAATGTTTCTTGATGTCTTTGTACATTCACTTTCTTCTAACAAGTTTTTTTATTTTTTTTCCCCCATCCAGGGCGAGTCTCTTTCTTCTCCTCTGGATCAGAGAACCTTCACCGTGTGGAGAAGGTAACATGGGGGACACGTTACGCCATCACAGTCTCCTTCACTTGTAACCCCAGCCACGCCATCTCTGACCCCTCGCTGCCCTGAGGTGTCCACCGATGACGGAGCCGCCAATATGCTCAGACGAGCCCTGCAACAAAGATGGAAACAAAGAAAATTAACAGGAGGAAGAAACTGTTTTTATTAGATTTTCATAAGTAAACCAGCTGCGATCAAGAACTCTCAGCAGCTGCAGCGTAAAAACAAGCAGCAGGCACGTGAACGCAGCAAAGAATAAGTGAATGTATATGTAATTGGTTCTTTTTTGAGTATCCTAGGTGGAAACTCTGAGATGATAAACTTCAAATAGTTGGTTTACTTCTGCTTAACCAGCAGCTGTTCTGCTGCATTTTTTACTGGAAGGAAAAAGTCCTGGTTCTCCTTTTTCCTCCTGTTTTGAGCAGTGGTTAAAAGGCCTACACTGCTGATGTCATGGTGCACAAGTTGGGTTTTTTAAGGATGCTAGTTTTCTCCATCATTCCACTGCTGATGAGGATCCACGTCCTCAGAATGTACCCACTGGAAGCTTCATGTTCAGGAAAAAGATCTTTTTCACACAGATTATGAGTTCCACTCACTAGAAATCCTGCTTCAAAAACATTTCCACGTAATTTTTTTTCTTACATTTAAGAGCAAAACTTTGCATTCTGCAAGAAAATTCTCTATAATTTCTGTTATTAATAATGATAGCTAGCATCTGAAAGTGTCAAAGCTTTTACACTGGATACCCAGTGCTTGGTAATTGCAGACATGTCTCAATGCAAAGACTTTTTCCTTAAGTTTCGTCTGCTTTCCTATTTCTTCTGTTCTTGATTTATTTTAAAGTTTGTTTTAGTAGAAAAAGACAAGATGTTTTCAAATGATCAATTCCATATTTAAGGGAAGAAGGCTTTTCAAACCAACCCGTTCCTATAAAATAAAAATAATAATTATTATTTTAATAATTTCCCCCTAAAAATACTGATAACAGGCACCAGATTTCAGTATATGACCTCACTATGAATGAATGCTGGCCCAATTTTTACAGAATAGTTTTAAATAAGGGTTTTTAATCATAAAACATATAATCTAAATTCTGACCTTTGTACTCTGTTTATCTTTGACATGAAAAATCTCCAATGGGATAAAATCTTTTTTTTTTTTCACAGCGATGTAAATCTGCCAACAGCTTGGATTGTTGTTCATGTTATTTTGAATGTGTCAGGGTTCCTGCTGGGTTCTTATGATTCAAGGAATTGCTTGTAAAAAAGAAAAACCAAACCATAAACCTGCATCTCAAACTGAAACCGCTTTAAAGATGTAAATCTTCAGTGATTCTCAGGGCCTTTGTTTGTTTTATAAAGGACATTTCTGTTGGTCTGCATCTGAAGGTTTGTTTATATCTTGCCGTTGTATTGAAGTACTGACCTGAGAGAACTCAATGTGCCAAAGCCCTGTTTTAGCACACAGAGGTAATGTTCTCCTGTTTCCTTTCAGCAATTATTAAACCATAACACTTGAGTGAACGTTTTGTATTTATAAAATAAGCCAAGATCACTTGTGTGTACGCCTCCATTCTTATCTGCACTTTGGGAGCCACTCGAGGAAATTACTTGATTGATTGATCGGTGTGAGAAAACATCTTCCCTTCCTTTCCTATTTTCCACACAGCTGCTGTAGCCAATCCTTTGTTTTCGCTCCCATTTACTCTTGATATATTGTGGAAATTGGCTTTAGAGTGAGTCACTGAAACTTTATTTCATCTTGGTTACTTCTTTCAAAGTTGAGTGTGCACACTTTCTGAGATCTTTTTTGTTTTTAGAGACACCGGAATATAGCAAGCTCCTCGTTCCATAATTACTTAAAAGGGGATTGCTGTTTTTTTTTTAATTCGTTTAATTTCTTTTTGCACGTATGTGATGTCAGCACTCCAACAGCAAGCAGAAAATAAATGATAAAGCACATCTCATCCTAGTGGCTTATTCTACCCACTTCTAAACATTGAAAAACGGATTGTTTTAAATCATAGGTTATAAATTAAACTTAAAGTTACAATCTGTATCTAAACTCTACAGAATTATGGGCAGAAGCTGCTTTTATATCCCACAATGGCAGAGCTACTTAAATCAGTTTTTCTGGGAGTGTTAACAGAACTGACAAGAATCAAAGTAATGACATTTAAACATTTGACAATGTGACCCTCTGGGCCATTGCAGGTTGTCGTCACAATAATGTTAGAGCCAACACCAATACTGATTCAAAATGAAATGTAGTGCCTGTTAAACACGAAGGCATCAAACAGATGTCTTTTTTATTTTGACAAAAGCAGCAAATAAAGATTTAAAAAGGTAAATTGTCAAAAAAAAATGTCCAGGTCGTGTAGATCATCAGGGCATCTGTGTCTATGGGGTATTTGCAATAAATATTGATTTTGGGGTGAGTTGATCTTTAATGATGTACTATACCAGTTTTATTTGCACAACTTTACAACACTTTAGAATGACCAAGCTCCACAAAGTATACATCTCGGGATTCAAAAATAGAAAAGCACACCTTCGAGGCAGTAGCAGTGAAAGTGTCTCCACATTGTTTTTTTTTGTTTTTTTGTTAGCAGGCCTTTTAAATAACTAAATGTGAAGTACCCCAAGGTTCAGTGCTGGGAATGAAACTTTATTTAGCATTTATTATCATTTATAAAGTGAAAGTAGAATAATGGGCCCAGACGTTCGTGTTTCAATTAGAAGTTGCTCTGCAGCATTTTGCAAAACCTACAGGCTGGGGGCGGAGCTAAGGGCGGTCATTCAATTCAAATAGTACAAAATGTTTGACATTTTATTAGTAAATTAACACTAAAGTGACAACAAAAATATGACAAATACTGGATTCATGATCTGTTAAAAGCTAGTTTTGTGTTTTAAGAGGGTGAAGGGAAAGTAATGTCTGCACATCATCTAGAAGACTTGTAATTAAACATGCTGCTCAAGCCTTTTAATGTATGTTTATGCCTTAAATACCCATAAATGTTTAATTTTGACACCATACATGCATAAATATATATGTAGATTTATTAGCAAGGGCTTCATGAAAATCCAGTCAGTCTTTATTGATTTATTTGAAAAATATATTGCACTCTTTCCTTTTTAGTGTAGGTTGACCCTGAGCTGGTTTCGGTACCTATTGCTTTTATATTGGTCCTTGCTCAGCCACTGCTGCATGCATCTAATCGACACATTACCGTCCCCTGAACAGAGCCAGTCACAGTGATACAGCCTAGATGTTACAAATGTATGAATCATTTTTCAGATAATGAATATTGAGAATACAATTCATTGAATTGAATTTTTACTCCCATTCTAGGGGTTCATTTTTAAATCAGTACAAAAACTTAAAATGCTGTGGACTTTTTCAAATGGCTTTAGTCTAGCGGTGCCGTTTTATTCCGTCTCAGTCCAAAGCAGCAATACTCTTGCTGGCAGTTGTGAAGGGGAGAACTGTTCAGTTATTTTAAATGCAAAAGGGGTGAGGTTCATGGTACTAAAGTTAAGATTAAAAAAACTTTTGACAGATTGAAAGTAGTATAGTTTTCTATCCACTTCAGATGTATTACACATCCCCACCTGCAGAGTTTAACTGTTCCTCGGTTCACGGGAAACAAATTATTGGAAAAAATATGGCTGGTTTACCGCAGCACAGCTCTGCTTTATAAGCATCTTAGTTTATGCATCAGGAAAATGTTTGACATCTCTTCAAATTTTTAACCAAGTAAGTCTACAGGATCAGTTAAATACAAATCTGGATTTATAAAACCATGTCCACACAAAAAAGTAAGCACATTTGCTTCATAGATCTCTGCTGTGCCCTAAAGTTTGGTTCCAGGGCTCCACCTCATGTGCGGCCCGATATATACAGCCGTAAATGGTCCATTTTGCATTTAGATGAGCCAGGTTATCAATATTACTTAATGGTTACCATGGCAACTGCCACCAGGTAAGTAACAAAAGGTGCCGTTTAACCAAGGCGGAAATAGATGGGTTTGTGAGTGAGCTGGAGATTGACATATGTTTGGTCTGATGTACCGACTGATCGTATTAACGAGGACCTCTGTGCAGCATTGCATTTATCGCTGGCTGGGATATCTTCAATTTATAATAATAATTTTATACAATGATTTTGTTTCAGAAAGTTTCTTCAGGCAGTTTCTTTGGATCCGATAAAGTCAATCTATAATTAAAGATTCATATGATGTGAAATGAAATGTCTGAGATGAATTAGGATGGATTCTGGCTTCAGTTCTCCGCCTTATTAAACATCTTTATCACCAGTTTCCCCTCCCTCCAAAATGGGCATACCTGTACGGATCGGTCAGAGATGGCGTGAGTGACCACACATTTTCATGCCAAGTTTGTTCTTTATTTTCATAGATTACAACACTTGCATGGAAGTCAGTATTTGCAATGCTTTATAATGAGACCCCAGCCTTTGGGAGCTGACATAATGATTTAAAATAGCTTTTTTTTTTTTTTTTTTGATACAGGTTCTCCGGCAATAATACATAAACTTATATAGGGTTTTAAAAGGTGCAAACTGTTGACCTTCCTTTAAATGATTTCTCCCTTTGTTGTTTGAGCATGTTGCTTTCCACCTGCTTTGCCCTAAACTTTCAAAGCATGCCCGTTGGGCAGCAGTCAGCTGAGTATGACTCAGAGGACCATTTGGGAATATCATAGCCCACCCTTCCCTGGCACTACATGCTAATTAACCACAGGGGAAAGAGAATAAAGCAAGTAGTAATTTTTTTCCCTTCTTACCTCACGGGTGAGGCATGTTCATCATTTACAGATGAACCAGAAACCACGGATAGGGCTAACATCGGCTGGCACTCTTCAAATTGATACTAGAGCTTATCATGTCAATGCTGGAAGGCTTTAGTGAAGTTTAGAGGCTGATGCTAAAACACTTTTTACATTCCCACCAAAGAAATATGAAAACTTGCTCTTAAAAACTGGGCAAAAAATCCAGGGACATAAAAAGTTATACCTGCACATGTAAAGGGAAGAAAATATTGTGCACGCTGCAGAGCCGGCCCGAGGCACAAGGAAATCAAACGACTGCTTATGGCCCCTGCTGAGGTAGGGGCCCCTGAAGAACAATTATTTTGTTTGTTTTCTTGCATGTATAATGTATTTCAACGTAAATATATTAACAAAAAACATTCATATTGATTTTATCATATAGTTATAATTCAATCTGAAAAACTCACACGGAAAGAAAAAGACAATTAGAAGAATTTTATTGATACAATTACTTTAGTCTTTGGCGCTCAGATGTCGGCAGGAAACATTAGCGCTGAATTTTGATTGATATGCATGATCAGGCATAAAGAACAGGGCTGTTTCCCCCCAGGCCTGAAACTGGTGATGGAGTGGAGATAGATGAAGTTGGTCAGTCTGTAGACTGCTGGTTAGTGAGACGGTCTGCTGAGCTTTATGGGGAGATCCAGTGGACTGCGTGAGCTGATGCTAGAGCTTCATTCAGGGACCTGGAAGATGGAAATCCAGTTGGATAACACAGGTTGAGAGAACCTGTCCATGATGAGCAAGCATAAAGCGACAGTGGAGAGAAAAACTCCCAGTTGGGAAGAAACCTCTGGCAGAACCAGGCTCATCATGGCGGTCTTCTGCCGGACCGTTTGAAACAAGACATGGAACGCAGTAAGAGTCCAGGAGTAATGAATTTTGATGAAGCTTTAGCTACGATGGTGGAGGAGGGGCTGGAGGTGAGTTGAAGCGGTGTCATCTGAATGAAGTCACACAGCGCAACCGCCGCCTGCACACAGGAGCAGACAAGTGCGGATGGCCTCTTAAGATGAACTTTGGATGCTGATTGGTTTTCGTGGAGGTGTGGTTCAAAGCTGATTGGCTGATCGCTTTCATCCACCTATGATGGTGGATGAAGGCAGCAATCAGTTTCTTCAGTTGAACTTCTGCCTAGGCTCTGTTTTAATGGTGAGTCGAAAAGGAACAATCACCATACTGATAAAGGCCATAACGCATAACACACCTTGCACCTCATTCAGGGTGTTTCTTCATAAAACATGACAAGAGCAGCTGGCTGAGCTCTGTGCTACACAAAGATACGCTGTCTGCTCACTTATAGCCAAATGCAGTCCAGCTGATAGGGACACAATCTGATCTGGATTGCACCCTGTTCTGGCTGCATTTGACTTTCCAAAAACAAAACTGAAAGAACAAAATATTCCAGCAACTGAATAAGGCAGTGAAGTTCCTGACCTCAGGATGCAAAGGGCAGACCTTGGCCACAAAATAATCAATGTAGATTTCTCAAAAGCATATTAATCAGTTAAGTTTTATTTTCAGCACAGAGAAAATGTTTTAACAGTCAAACCCCGGATTCCTAATACCTTCAAAATAAAAAGTCAAATGCTATTTGGGTAAGCTGCTGTTTTATTAAAAACAAACCTAAGGTTTTCATCTATATTCCTCTAAATGTCAAACTACTGAGGCTAATATTAAATCTTGAGGATATTTTAAGGAGTT